ACAGGTGTTTCACTGTCTAACACCTGTAGCTCAGACAGGTAACACAGGTGTTTCACTGTCTCAACACCTGTAGCTCAGACAGGTAACACAGGTGTTTCACTGTCTCAACACCTCTAGCTCAGACAGGTAACAGGTAAATGCTCAGACTTTGTTTGCAGGATCAGTTGCAGCAGAAGATTGTGTGTCCAGGTGTGGTCACCTGTCTGACTGTGTCACCTGACGGAGCCTTTCTTGCTGTTGGAGTGGCTGAGGCCATTTACCTGTGGGAGGTGAGTCGTCTTCTAAGGTTTTCATCGTCTGGTTTTCATGGCAACACTATGTAATGTCTGTTCTCTGATTGGCCCAGGTATGCACAGGTAAGCTGTTGGTCGTGCTCAGTCGACACTATCAGGACGTGACGTGTCTGAAGTTCACAGACGACGGCAGCCATTTGGTTTCTGCAGGGAAAGATAACCTGGCCCTGGTGTGGAGCGTGTGCAGGTAACACTCACCTGCTGCTCAGACACACTCAGCTTACTCTTACCTGTGCAATAACCTGCTACACAAACACTGAAATATACATATAGTAGAATACTACTACTATCATCAGTGAAATACCATTTGTATATACAGTATGTTGTGCACCCTGCCTGCACTGTTCTGTTTTTTCTGTTAATATAATTTTGTTGTTGTTTTCTTTGTTATTTCGTTATAATGCAAACTGAATTTAGTATTCTGTATTGTCTTTATTTTTATTCTTTATAGTGAGTCAAAGGATTTCTTCTCATCCTAAGAATTTCATTACATTGTTGACTCTTGTTAACCTGCATATGACAAGAAATGAATCCTGAATCACACAGTTTACAGTACTTTGAGTCTGGGTACTTTGAGTCTGGGTACTTTGAGTCTGGGTACTTTGAGTCTGGTTTCTTTGAGTCTGGTTTCTTTGAGTCTGGGTTCTTTGAGTCTGGGTACTTTGAGACTGGGTTCTTTGAGTCTTGGTTCTTTGAGTCAGTGTACTCTGAGTCAGTAGTTTGAGTCAGTACTCTATAGTCAGTAGTTTGAGTCAGTACTCTATGAGTCAGTACTCTATGAGTCAGTACTCTATGATTCAGTACTCTATAGCAGTAGTTTGAGTCAGTACTCTATGAGTCAGTACTCCGAGTCAGTACTCTGAGTCAGTACTGCGAGTCAGTTCTCTTGAGTCAGTGTGAGTCTGAGTCAGTACTCTTGAGTCAGTGTGAGTCTGAGTCAGTACTCTTGAGTCAGTGTGAGTCTGAGTCAGTACTCTTGAGTCAGTGTGAGTCTGAGCCAGTAATCTTGAGTCAGTATGAGTTTGAGTC